TACAGGTCATGATTTACTGAGAGCAGGCCAGACTGTCTATGTCTGAGAGATATATAGTCGCTTAAGAAAATACTGAGACGAAAACATGCTGGCCATCTAACAGTGTGTGAATAAAAACTGCTTAAGGTACATTAGGAAATAAACAGATTTCCCATCAGTACCAATTTGTCAAAACAAGATTAATTGCCACGGGTGTGTTTATGTAGGCCAGTGTACAGCATGAGTATCAAGGGAAAGTATGCATAATAAAAAACATCATTATGAAATGTGTCCATCTTTATGTTGTAACAGCATCTGGTTTGCATGCATTTACCTTGTTGCAATAATTTCTGCTCAGTTTTGTGAAATGTAATAGTTTTTTTTTCATCTGTATGTAAATAATAAGTGTTAAAGTGCAGTGAATTGCTGGCACCACTGTGATTTTTCTTAAGGCACCAATTTGGCTTTTATTATTGTTATTTTTTTATTATAGCTTATTGTTAATTAGTGTGTCTTCTTTTTAATTGAAGTAAAACTTTTTTTTTTCTTTTTTTGTAGCAGGTTGAGATTTCTAAAGATGTTTTTATTTGTATGTCTATATAATTTAGAGTTTTAAATTAAATTATAATTTAATTTAAATTATAAGGCCTTTTTCAAGTTATATACAGTAGTCTAAGACAAGAGAGATGTCCGTTTGTAGCCTGCTACCTTGTGGTCTGAGTGAAAATACTCAAGTAAAAAAGTACTGATAGATAGATATTTACCTTGTTGCAATAATTTCTGCTCAGTTTTGTGAAATGTAATAGGTTTTTTTTCATCTGTATGTAAATAATAAGTGTTAAAGTGCAGTGAATTGCTGGCACCACTGTGATTTTTCTTAAGGCACCAATTTGGCTTTTATTATTGTTATTTTTTTATTATAGCTTATTGTTAATTAGTGTGTCTTCTTTTTAATTGAAGTAAAACTTTTTTTTTCTTTTTTTGTAGCAGGTTGAGATTTCTAAAGATGTTTTTATTTGTATGTCTATATAATTTAGAGTTTTAAATTAAATTATAATTTAATTTAAATTATAAGGCCTTTTTCAAGTTATATACAGTAGTCTAAGACAAGAGAGATGTCCGTTTGTAGCCTGCTACCTTGTGGTCTGAGTGAAAATAACAGAGCTGTAGAAACAACACCTTTCAAAAGATTAGGATCAGTAAGATTTACTTTATTGTTTTACCTTTATTCAGCAATGATGCATTGAATTGTTTAAAATGACACTGAAGACTGAATTAATGGCTACTGAAAATTCACTTTTGCCTTCACTGAAATAATTTTTAAATATAAAAATACAGAAAATTGTAAATTGTAATAATATTTCACGATATTACTGTATTTTTGATCAAATAACTTTAGCCTTGGTGAGCATAAGAGTCAAAAAAGTTGCAAATACTGTTTTCTAATTTGACCTTTACAAATTACTTCTTTAGTCAGAAGTAAAATCAGTTAATTTAGGTCTTAGTTACCAAATAAACATAAATGAACAAAACATTTTTAGAGTGTGTGTGAAGC